TGAATGAATTTGAAGAGAGAGTCTTGGTATCATTTATACGTACAATACAGGTATGGCTGTATCTTTTCATTAAACATCTTCTGGCTGTTTCTAAGAAACCTTTAAATGATCCTAACAGATTGTGTCCTGAAGCTTTTTAGGCTGATCAGTCATTTCTTTTTCTATGCTGAAAAAGCAGTGTTAGCCTTAAATCTTAAGCAGTCACAATGCACTGCCTCCAGACTTGGAAAGGAATGGTAGTTTTTCCCTCAGTAGGTATGAGATTTCCAGAAGGTGAGAGGTTTTTGTGGTTACCTATCTGTGTATATGCAAACGCATTTAAATACCCACTTTTCAAATGATAACATTTGCAAATGCAAATTTACTTCTGTCAGACCTGAGTCTGCAAGAGAATTTCCAAATGCTTTGAAAAGTGAGGCCTATGTACATTCCAGAGCTCTTCATTTTGTCCCTTTTTATTTTGTGTATTTATGAAAACAAAGAATTCCCCCCCAAAAAAGTTTATTGTAAATCTAGTTGCATTGCTAGCATGATAAGGGAAAATGAGAAGGTAGAACTGAGGCAAAACTGTAATTCTCCTCAGTGGAAAGATGTGGTTATCAGCTAGCGCCTCAGTTTTCCCTTTTGCAAGGAATCAAAATATCTTCAGACTGTTTTATAAGGGAAAGATATGCAAAATTAATGCCAAAATTAACCATATTTTAATCATTTAATTGTTACAAGTGTTGCAGATGACCACAGTGTATGTGTCTGTATACACACACACCTGTGCACGCAGATGGAGTAACACCTCACCGCAAGATGATGGTTATCAACAAAGGGGCTAAATGCTAACACAGTCCCTTTCTTATCTTTACAGCTGCGCCTGAGAGACAGGAAGGACTCTCCTCAACTGCTCATGGATGCTAAACACATCTTTCCTGTTACTTTTCCATTTAATCCATCCTCCCTGGCATTAGAAACCATCCAGATCCCAGCCAGTTTGGGGCTGGGCTTCATATCGCGTGTCTGATCCCAAGGATGTTCTGTCAGTGTTAGATGGAGAATTGTTTGCCTGATATCGTTACCCATTAAAATGTAGGGAGCCACTGAAAACACATTTTTGAACAAACAGTCTCTATATGCTCAGATTTGTTGTAAAGGTAGCTGGGAGACTACGCAGCAGCACCACAGATTGAAGGCTGGTAGAAAGATGTGCATTTGCTTTCAGTCACTGCACGTACAAGGACATTACTGCTTCATATGTTTCCAGAAATGGAAATTGGGTTTGGACAAAAATTGTGTCTTCAGCTGTTTAGAGACATTTTTAGATCTTTAGTAACATATTTAAATAGTGTAAATTAAACTCCATGTATAACCTTCTCATGGGCAGGGACCAATGGGGACAGTGCCAGTCCTCACATGGGAGACGTAAAAGTAAGGCATTTTGTAGTAGAATATGCAGTTACCTGGGAGCCTGTTACTTTTAATTTGTAAAAACTGGAATGGAGAAGCAAAAACTTGCAATATATAAAATGATTTCTTAAACCACTTATTTATGTCAGTTTGACATAAATTCTAGTGATAAGTCTTATAGCTTACTGTATGCTATAACATAGATGTTCATTTGTTAGTAATGTGGTTTACCAAGCATATTAAATTGCTGCTGCATATTGAATTCTTTTAAATGTATGACAGTATCATGCTAGGCACTAAAAATAAGATACTTCATTTTTGGTTGTCAACCTTATTTACAGTCCAATGCAGTCCGTTATTCTAACTGGATTTTTGCAGATGTTATCAAATATCACCTGTAAAGGAAAATGGTAACTAAGCACAAGTAGTACACTGGAAATTACATGTTTAGAGGTTGTTGGGTTTTTTTTTTGCTTTGCTTTTTTTTTTTTTTAAATAGTTATCTGAGAATACAGAATCTTGAAGCAGATTATCAGAAATGAGTCATGATTTTTGTATTTATTTAGATTTTGTAGCACATCCAATGTTTTTCTTTGTAGACCCCAGAGATGACAGTGTGTATTTTCAGTATAACGTATTTTGTTGCCACCTCTAAAAAAAAACAGAAACCTTAAGAATATGTACGCATGTTTTCCTTCATATTTGTATTTGAGAGGAAAAGCTAACAGAAAGCTTCTGTGGAGGTGCAGGATTCATTCCTTGGAAGGTTGGCCAACAGAGGCACAAAGTACGTTTTGACTCTGATGCTGTCACTGACTGCCATTGGTGCTGATTTAATGGTTGGAGATCCAGAGCTCATAATGAGAAACAGAGTTAACTGGGATCTCACACATCCAGTCAGCAGGGTTTTCTGTCTCACACTCCTTGGATGTGTTACAGAATTCACATTTCACAATGTGCAGCACGTGGGCAGAGGCCCTCCGTGAGGTTCCAACCCTGAACTTACAACGTGCCCTTTGTGGTGTGCGGCTCAAATACACGTGGGGAGAAAAGAGACACTCACATTACTCTGTTGCATTGTGCAATATTTTTTATCTATTATAAAAATTAGCAACTTAGCATTAAAAATATTGAGGAATAGTCCAGAGGTACACTATGAGTCTGTTTGGTACTTAGTGTCTGCCTGCAAACTCACAGAAAAAAGATTCCTTCCAGGCAGGCAGAAACGTTTCAGCCGTGTTTGACCTGGGAGGCAGACATACTGCTGATGTGGTTGCTAAATGGGGAACAAAGGCAGCCTGAACTTTGGCAGTCTCATCTAAAGATGCTCAGGTTGTCTTACTTTCAGAGGCGTAAAACCCATGCTGTGTTTGATGGACCATGCCAACGTTTGCACGAACTGAATATTTCATTGCACAGATATTTGGAATGATCCTCGCTGATGGTTTCGGTTGTCTTTCCACGCATGGTACACCACACACTTTTTTTTTTTTAATATTACTTGATTTCTGAACTACATCTGCTGCTGAGTGGCTCCAAGTAAGATCTAATGTACTAACAGTGGGGAATGGTGGCTTTCAGACTTTAGGGTACTGTACTTGAGAGAATGTAATGGGAAGGCCTTCACATCCAAGGTAGGGAGGACAATATATCAGAACGTGCTGACCTACCAATTTTCTCCTTATTGGAAAGCATAGAGATTGGCATTACAGTATGCTCAGACTGTCTGTCAGGAAACGTATCCACTACGTAAGCATTGGTGTATTAAAACGTATGCCTAACTGTATTTTTGTTGATTTCTAAAGTTTGTTTACCTGTAAAAAGCCTTACTGTATCTGTTTCCTTAAGAAAGTAGTGGTTAGTAATTTATAGATGTTATCCTTGAACTCAGTGGTTTGACTGGTATTACTTTAATATCATGTTAAAAGTAGATGCTGCTCAACATGTTTGGAAGGAAACTACTTTGGGGTTGGAAAAGATGTGTAATTGGTAAATCATCTACTATTTTACCTGGCAGTATTTTACATGCACTTTTCAGAAGTAAAATTTTAGTGTCAGTGTATAATGTAACTTTCACCTTAGGACTAATATCTCTTTAACCATTGAACAGGATGCAGAGTTATTTGAACAACTATTTTTTTTTCCTTTGAATCATGGTTATGTTCTTTTCATGTGGACATATCTTTTATATTTTAATTTATTATCTATTGCTATAGTAGATTCTATTGGATGCTGGAAAAAAACAATTCTCAAAGAGCCCTTAGAATGATATAGAGTTATTCTAGAGATTTTGCACAATTACCTCATTCTGTTTGGTGTACCTTTCTTCCAGTGATTGTTTTATTCGATGCTTAGCACACGGTCTTCTATCCAAATTGTGAAAATTGTTTCTCAGACTTCAATCTGGGATGGAACACGGAAGTGCTTAAGTCCATTAAATGTGAATAATCTGTTCTACTTATCAGGAAAACAAAGTGGGATCAATCTCAGCATTGAAAAGTGGGCTGATGAGCAGTAACATCTGTTCCTAACTCGGAAACACCAGCATTTGCAATGGGAAGGTCTCTGGTTTAAACTGAACGCGTTTCAAATACCATACAAGTACTAGGAGTAAACACGTTGGGTTTTTTTTAAGATGCCCAGACTTCACCTGGTAAATCAAAGCCTTGAAACACAGATTTTCACTCAATACCACTACAGTACATAGATGAAACCAAAACCTTGTCAGAATGACCTGAGCTCTGATCTGTCGTAGTGTCCGATGTTGTACTTAGTAAATGTATGCATCATAAAAGCTGTAGCCTAATAGCTATCACTGGAAAACGTCCAAATAAAAATACAGCTGTAAGATTTACTGTGGTTGTGGGGCATTTGTTTGTTTATTCATTTGGGTCTGTTTGTTTGTTTCTGAGCAGGTGGCTGTCAGGCTTGTGGCTGAGCTGTGCCCTGGTCTAGTATTCAGTGGGGAGGTTTGTGGCCCTGCATGCGGCAGCGGGGTTGGAGATTCACGATCCTTGAGGTCCCTTCCAACCCCGGCCACTCTGCGATTCTGCTCGGTGCTCAGCCCTTGCTGGGGGTTGCAGCTGTGCCTCCTGCCGGCTGCCCGGAGCTCCCGGAGAGCCTTCAAGGAGGAGAGGCAGCAATCATCAGCCCAAACCAAGTGCTGTACTTATTCAAATCCTCCTTCTCGTAAATAACATTTGCATACACTACCTGCATACGAACCTATTCGTTCTATTTTCTAATCCTAGAGTAATCCTTGGTGGCGTTTTATAGCGAGCTGATTCTTGTTCTCGTTGGTTTTCCTTATTCCGGAGGGGCGGGCTGCTGTGCGGGCATTCCTCCTCAGCTCTTCAAGCTCTACTCCAGGAGACCTCGAGGCACAGCGCCCGCATGTCATCACCGAGCTTACCCGTTCCCCCTGAAATCACACACCTGCGTTCCCCGTACCGCCCAACACACACGCGTTTAAGGATGCCTTAACACACGGCGACCGCTGCGGGAGCTATCGGTGAGCCCGAGCTCGGCCAGGTGAGCGGCGTGGCAGCCTCGGGGCGCGCTCCTCCCCGGGGCAGGGCGGGGATCCGGACGGCGCGGCCCGGGGCGGGCGGAGGAGCGGTCGGCCGTCCCGGCAAAGCTGCGCCCATGGCGCTGGCCGAGCTGTACACACAGGTGAGAGGGGCACTGCGAGGGGGGCGGCCCGAGGGGGGGCGGCCGAGAGGAGCTGCCGGGGGCGGCTCGTGCAGCCATGTCAGGTAGCGATAAAGTTGGCCGAAGCGGAGGCGGAGCAGCTTCGGGTCCCCGTGCGGTGCCGGGGGACCCCGCTTCTCCTTCTCGCTGCTTCAACGTGTGTTTTCTGAGCGTGGCTGTGCGGGTTTGGGGGTTAATCTAGCGCCCTTCCTCCTTAGCGCGGCTGGGGCAGCGCTTCCCACTTTTCACGTCGTCGGCGGCGCGGCGTTGTGGGGTGGAGCTGTTTGCTTAACTCCGAATAACAAACAAGGGGCGAATCGCAGCTCCGTCGACCTCCTCTCTCCTATCGCCCATCCGAGTGCCGTCCCAGCCCCGCTTTGCCTTTCGCTGTGCCGCGCGAGCCCCGCTGCGGACGGCCGTACTGGGGGAGCGGGGCGATGCGGGGCGGTGTGGGAATGCAGCGTTTACCTGCGGGGCAGCGCCGCTCTGCCTGTTTGCCAATGGAGGCTCCTGCCTCCACCGCGGGGCGGTTCGCGATGGATCGGTGCTGCTCTGACCTGCTTGTCGTCGTCGGCTGTGACCCGCTGCGGTCCGTTCGCTGACTCGTAAACGTGCCCTGATCTGCTGAGGGTCTTTGGTTCCGGTGTTCTTGATGCGTGAAATGGCAGCAAAGAATTCTGTGTAACAGCTGTGGATAGGTACGTATGTGCCTTTAAAAGTCAGGACTGTGCAGGAATGACGCAGAGATCAGCTTGTCCATCAGTAAGCACCTCTCCTATGAAGACCAGCTGAGGAAGCAGGGTTTGTTCAGCCGTGTTCAGCGACCCCATATCGGCCTTCCAATACTTAAAGGGAGCTTGTAGGCAGGAGGGAAATGAACTTTTTACGCGGGTAGATAGTGGTGGGATAAGGGGAAATAGATTTAAATTAAAAGGGGGGAGATTTGGGTTACATGTTCCAGGGAAAGTTTTCAATGAGAGGTGGTGAGCTGGAGGCACAGGCTGTGAGTGCCCCATCCCTGGAGATGTAGATGCCAAAGAGGAGTAGAATGAATACCTGTGAGATTGACTCTGTTCTCTCACTCTCTGTTTTCTCTTTTCTCTTTCACAAAGAATAAGTAAAGCACAGTGGTATACCCCAGGGAAATGGTCAGAACAAAGTGTGATCCCACAGAGTCCTGGCGTCCATGGCACCATTTAGGCTGCTCTTGCTTGAAAACTGCCTTTTTGTAGTCTGGTGCTACAGCAATAGCTGAGCTGGCTGCTGTCTTGTTTTTCTCTTTCAGTACAACAGGGTTTGGATTCCCGATAGCGAAGAAGTCTGGCAGTCTGCAGAAATCACAAAAGACTACAAAGCAGGAGACCGTTTTCTCCATGTGCAATTAGAAGATGGAACTGTAAGGAGAGCAGCCTTAATTGCTGTGGGATTTGCTGTGTAGAAACATAGGGTGCACCAGGTCTATATGAATTGTTCCTACTTCCCTTTGTGCCAGCTGTGCAGTGGCCAGAATTTAATCATTCAGAAAGCTGTACTGTAAATATCTATTGCCTAAAAATATCTGCAGTCCTGCTGCCTCTGTCACATTAGTATATAAGACTGATATTGCAGTAGAAAGATGACTTTGGAAACAAGTAAAAACTCATTCTTGAAGTAAATCAGAAGAGCAAGGCAAGAATAATTCATCTCACAGAGGCAGCTGCTGACTTTCTTTCCCCTAAAGTTATTGCTTTATGGAAGAACTCTTACTTTTGGTCTCTGTGTCCTGTACTGATGTAGTATTTCGATACAGGACATCTGTATTTCTGCACTGTTTTTCTGTAAACCCAAATATTAAAGAAAAGTGGTGTGCATTTTTAATAATAAAAAAACAACAAAATCACCGTCTTACTTTCATGACCCTCTGCACCTTATGTTCAGTGAGATGTATGGAACTGATGGAAGAAAAGATCAGACAGTGCTCCATCAATCCTGTACCTACATATAGAGATACCAGATCCATTTGCACATAAGCAAGCGATGAATGTTGTGCCATTTCCAGTCCTTTCTGCTTGCAGGAGCTCAATTACCCTGTTGATCCATCTGCTTTGCCACCTCTGAGAAATCCTGACATCCTTGTTGGTGAAAACGACCTGACAGCACTCAGCTACCTCCACGAACCCGCTGTTCTGCACAATCTTAAAGTCCGTTTCGTGGAGTCTCGGCTCATCTACACCTACAGTGGTAAGCAGAGTCAACTGCAAGGCTTAAAAAAGCACAGTAATATTGGCTTACCTGACCTACTGGGTGGCAGCCCAGCTCCGCAGGTTGGAACTGTCTTTAAGGTTCCTTCCAACCCAAATCATTCTATGGTTAGTTTGCAGTATGATGTGAGTACCGTTTTCCTCAAGTGCCTTTTAATTCGTTCAGTGGAGATTTGTATGAGTGTACAGTCGTTTGTTGATCAGAATATTATACTGGGTTTAGAAAATATTGTAATCATTGCTACCACTTTTCACTGCACTAATCTGTGTTTTCCTTTTGTTTTGTGCACTTGGTTGCAGGAATAATTTTGGTTGCAATAAATCCCTACAAGCAGTTGCCAATATATGGAGATGCTATTATCCATGCGTATAGTGGGCAAAACATGGGGGACATGGATCCTCATATATTTGCTGTGGCAGAAGAGGCATACAAGCAAATGGCAAGGTTCAGTGTGCTGTTTTACTTCTATAAATAACACTTAGTCAAGTAGCAGCCAGTTAATTGTAATTTGGGTTAACTGTATGTGTGCCACTGGCTATTGTGAATATCTCTGAATGCGTAACTTAACTAAATTAGAGAAGGAATAATTCCTCCACCAGCTGAGGAACTTGGAGTTGGAACTAAATGATCTTTGAGGTCCCTTCCAATGCAGGCAATTCCATGATTCTTTGATTTCTATAACTTGGAACCATTTTCATTGCTGACAAGAGCTAAAACTGTCATAGCTGTGTGAGTAGCAGTGACATTGGCCTAGAGATTACAGCCAAAGAGGTGTGAAACAGAGGAGCAGATGAAAGATGGAACTCGTATGAGTGGACCGCAGTTGTGTTTTCATACCTTTGTTTCATATGTTTAACTCTTTCATATATTTGCATATATTTACATGCATTTTAAACACTTCTGCTTTAAAGTCTCTGATTATTTGGTTTTAGAAATAGCAAGAATCAATCTATTATAGTCAGTGGAGAATCGGGAGCTGGAAAGACTGTGTCTGCAAGATACACTATGAGGTACTTTGCCACCGTGAGTAAGTCGAGCAGCAATGCACATGTGGAGGATAAAGTTTTGGCATCCAATCCGATAACTGAGGTAAACTTCAGAGAGCAGCTGTCAAATCTGTACTTACTGAGGAGAGGATTCCAAGAGCTGCTCAGCATCTCTGTTTGAAATCATGGGGGCTCTTTAGTAGCTGACTCAGATATCTACGTTAGAAATTGAGCCTTTGAATGTTCCTGATGGGAAGAGATGGTCGGGCCAGGAGCACTGATGTTCTGCCCAATTTGCCAGCAGCCCTCTGCAGGCACTGGGATGCAAAAGTTTGACCTGACCACATCCTGTTAAATAGATGATAGCACAAAAACATTGAACAACTTGTTTTTATTAGTTGGAGTAGAAAATGGCTCAAGTGGGGGGATATGTTTCTAATTCTCTATCTTTACATACCATTATATCCTTTGAGACTTATTTTCAAACTTGGGCCGTAAAACCCAAATCTCACGGCCGAATGCTGAGATTGATTCTTGAGGATTTTAGCAACTTGCGGTTGGGTCACGTTTTGAGAAATTTATTTTAATGAAATAGATGGGTAAAACAGACTGTGCAAGTTGATAATTTTGTAGGCTGTTGGCAATGCAAAAACCACACGGAATGATAACAGCAGTCGGTTTGGAAAATACACTGAAATCAGTTTTGATCCAAGTTACCGAATCATTGGAGCCAACATGAGGACGTACCTGCTGGAGAAATCCAGAGTTGTCTTCCAGGTGGGCAAAATGAGGAGACTCAGTGTGAATGTAGCTACTAATCTTTTGGCTCTGCTGGTTTCATATAGAAAATATGAAAAGATAAAATAGATATGTGAAGTTTTACATAGTATGTCTAATAAGCACATGATTTCTTTTTTCATAGGAGCTAACCTCGTTTAAAGCAGGAAAGTGATTTGTTCCGTATGCTTCCTTATGCTGAGTGGAGGACATATTTCAGGAGCAATTCCCTGTGGCAGTGCCAGAAGTATTTGCAGAATCTCTGAATTTCAGTCACAATAATGGCATGTGCCAGTTGTGTCTGGAAAGAGGCAGAGTTCGTGGAGCACAGCCATTCTGTGGTCAAAGCTGGCTGAAAATTTATAAGGCCAGGGCTTATCATGTGTGACCCATTGCAGTGTCAGAGCACAATCAGGATAATCTACTCAGGAAAGCATTAATTTTATGAAGCTGCCTTTGTAACATTTTAGCAGTATTTTAGTAGTACTGTAGTTTTTAAGTACTATGAAAAATCCTTCTTTGAATCTTCTCCCTGAATGGTGGTTCACAGCGTTTTGTGAATGGCTGCAGGGCGGTGCTGCAGCTGGACTAAGCTGCTCTTCCTGCTGTTTTCAGTTCTTATTAGTAGGTGGTTTTTCAGGCAGAAGGAATCGTATTAACAGCTCAGCAAATGGTCATGGAAAAATAGTATACTTGAATGTATCGCTTTCAGAACTCTTGCTGAAGTCGAAAGTGTGATATTTGAATTTGGGGCAATTTCTTTGCTTTGTGTTGTGGTTGTGTTTAGCCTTCTTGTATTGCCATCGTTTTACAGCAGTTCAGTATCGAATGCTTTTCTTCTGTAATGCTTTGTTTTGTTTTCATTTGCAGTCAGAGAATGAGAGAAATTACCATATATTTTATCAGCTCTGCGCATCTGCTATGCAACCTGAATTCAAGCATCTTAAGTTGGGTAGGTCTCAGGAAAATGAGCTCCTCTTCCCCTTTGCAGTGTATTATATCAAAAACTTCATTTTCCAAAGCTAGCACTTCAAGTGCTTTGTATCATAAATCTCACAGACTTACAACTAGATGCAGCTAGTAAGTCTGCTTGTATTAAACGTGGTAGCAAATCACTTGGAACTTGAATGCTGCATTATCAAGTGCCTTTGAAAATATTGTTCTAGTATTTTTTGTGGTGGCAGGTGCTGTTATGACAATGTGGGGGCTTGATTCATTTACCCAGGGAGAAGCTTTAATGCCACCTGGGAGAATGAAATGTTGGCTATACACTTCATCTTCACGTCTTCATTCCTGTTTGCTTGTTGGATCAACTACTGAGATTGCTAGGAATTAGGAATGCTAGTTTGTGTCAATTAAACTGAGTTGTGCACATGGATTTCTCTCCAAAGAAGGGGACCTCCAGCTCACTGCATTGGATAGCACCGTCAATTTTCTAGTGTTACAAGCCTTTAACAAGTGGCTTTCCCTAGTCTTGAATTTTCCAGCATTATGAGTTTTGCTTTTACCTCTAGGAAGCGCAGAAGAATTTAACTACACGAGAATGGGTGGCAGTACAACTATTGAAGGAGTTGATGACAGAGCAAATATGATTGAGACTCAGAAGACATTTGCCTTACTGGGTAACCTCTTGAGGATACCTACTCTCTATATATACGTTCTTTTTCTGAAATGAACAAAGGTGGATTATATCTCACATGTTAATATTTTTTGTCATTATTACTAATTTTTTCCCCCTTAATAGCCTGTCCTTTACACTGTTAGCCTGCTTTAAAAGCACTAGGCAAGTACAAGTGACTGCTAGCCATTTGGTATTCATTGTTAATCATCAAAAGCACTAAGGGCTGAGGTCCGCTTGGCCACTGAGCTGACATACTGCAAAAGAAATAGAATTAGAAGCTTCCTTAGCACTAACGTGGCTTATGTGAAGACCATATGAGACTAGCTGGCACTGGTGGGCATACAGGAATTTATGTCTAATCTCTTACTGAATCAGACAGGCTGAACCAAAGCTTTTCACAGTAGTCTGCAGGGATGCTATATACCTACTGACTGCACAACAAAGCAAGTAATCCAGCATTGTGCTATTTTAATTCATTCTACTGTGTTTGAATATTTAAAATAATCAGGAATTGATTTTTTTTTTTAGGTCTGAAAGAGGATTTTCAGATGGATGTTTTTAAAACGCTGGCAGCAATCCTGCACTTAGGCAACTTGGAAATAACAGCAGTTGGAGATGAGAGGTCATCCGTCAATGTAAGGAATTAACTCACTGAGATACTAGCGTTTTCTTTTCTACTCTGTGCCAAAAGGCCTTTAGCAATGTTTTTCTCAATTCTGGGGCTCAGAGCGGCACTAGATCTGGTATACTGAACTTGGGAGATTTATCTATCTTTGTATGTGTACGAAGTGAGTATTCGTGTGATACCTACTTCTACCTTGCTGTTGTTGATAGAGCCTTTGGGGACTACTTGCAGGGTAAAGGAAACAACATTGTCACAACAGCTTGGAATGTGTCCCAGCAGACTGTGCTAACCAAAAAGGAATGACATCTAAACATAGAGTAACTTATTCTTACAATGTCTGTGTCCAGTGCACCTCATCCAGCCTAAGGTTCTATTTCCTATGTCATTAGCTCCATCCACTGTCACTTGGTTTAACGCTTCTCAGTGTTTTGCCAGGCTAAGTGAACAGAAAATAAAACCTGTATCTTGATGTCAGTAGTGCCAGGATTTCCCTGTTTAGACGTTTGAGGCATTAAATGTAATAATATTTGTTATCTTCTGTAAAGCTGGAAGACAATCATCTCAATATATTCTGTGAGCTTCTGGAATTAAACAGTGACAAAATGGCACAGTGGTTGTGCCACCGGAAGATTATCACTACTTCAGAGACTGTAATAAAGCCAATGACAAAACCTCAGGCTCTTAATGCAAGGGATGCTTTGGCAAAGAAGATCTACTCTCATTTGTTTGACTTTATTGTGGAAAGAATTAATCAAGCTTTGCAGTACTCTGGCAAGCAACATACTTTCATTGGTGTTCTGGATATTTATGGGTAAGGATGTTTCTGGAAACAAATTTATTAGATTAGTTAAGCTTCTGTAAAGTCAGAATCCTTCTATAATCCTTCTATAACTTGAACACAGTTCGTTTTCCATGGGGTTGTGGGCACTTCTTAATTTGTGCTGCTAATAAATCTGCAGTGTTTCACCTACTGAAAGATAGCAGTCGTGAGTTCTTTTGCATCCACAGTAATAGGAATGTTCAGCAAATACAAATATTAGCATCTCACATGAGTGAGGTTTAAATTTAAATTTTGATTTAATTCTTTGAGATTTAACTCTGGATTTTTATTTTTTTTAGCTCTGTCATCTTCAATAACTTTATGTTCTAGGGAAATCTTGAAATCCCTTAGCAGCCTTCATTAAGATTATGGCTATTAAATTTTCATAGAATGATTAGATTGGTTCTGAACTCTTACCAGGTTATTGCAATCTGTATTTGAATCTGAAGGCTTTTTGTTTTCAATACAATTGCATTGCTTTGTCTTTTTTTTTTTTTTTTTTTTTTTTTTTTTTACATCTCAGCTTTGAAACATTTGATGTGAACAGTTTTGAACAATTTTGCATCAATTATGCCAATGAAAAACTACAGCAGCAGTTTAACCTGGTATGTTCATACGTTCATTTATTTTTACCTTTTTTTTGTGTGTGTTATCGTGTTATTGTTCATTGTCTTATTTTGCTTCAGTTTTGAGATTATCAGTTGCATTTACCATTTGGATATTTGTATTTGAGCAATGGCTATTTCTGCCTAACGACTATCCAGTAATAAGGAAAAAAAAGAGGTATTTTATGTATTGTTTCCTTAATTCTAACCTTATGTTTTCATAATTTTCATATATCTAGCATGTCTTTAAACTTGAACAAGAAGAATATATGAAGGAAGATATCCCGTGGACTTTAATAGATTTCTATGACAACCAACCTGTCATTGACCTTATTGAAGCTAAAATGGGAATTTTAGAGCTTTTGGATGAAGAGTGCTTGGTAATGTGAAAATGATTGCATTTATGAACTCATATAAAAATCACAAAAGAATATGAACGTTTGTCCTCTGTTTGGTGACTTTCGTTGTATGCTAAGAGCCTAACAGAAGGTTCTTAGCTACAAGCTGACTCAGCAGCTCAGTTTCTTTACCATGTGGTCAATGGGGCACTAGAGCAGTTTAAGCAGAAATGCTCTGAGATCCCATTGCTTGGAAAACTCTTTGGACTGGACTTTGTAAATGTGTCTCCCTTCTCTTTTTTACAGTTGCCCCATGGAACAGATGAGAACTGGCTTCAAAAGCTATATAATAATTTTGTCAACAAAAACACGCTCTTTGAAAAGCCGAGGATGTCAAACACGTCTTTCATCATTCAACACTTTGCTGATAAGGTAAACTGTAAAGAGACCAGCTTTATTGCACCCTGCTTCTAGCAGAATCTCATGCAGAAAAGGAACTACTTTGCAGCGGAAATATTAACCACACCTTTTTGAAACTGCTGGGTAATCTTCCTTTAGTGCTTATTGCTGTTCATTTACTGGTAATGCCACCATGTTCATGTGTTGCTGGTGTTCATGATTTCATGCCTTTGCACAGGTAGAATATAAGTGTGAAGGATTTCTGGAAAAAAACAGGGATACGGTGTATGAAGTTTTGATGGAAATTTTGAAAGAGAGCAAGGTTTGTGTTCAATCAGTCATGATTAATTTTCTGTGTATGTGAAGTCAGCAGAATTAATTCAGATCTGATTTTAAGATCTGTACTAAGGATAGGATATATGCTCTTCATAGGTTGGATCGATTAATTTACATCTTAATTTGTAATGAATATTCTTCAGATGCATATATTGAACATCAAAATCACAGTCATTTGCTAGTTACATTACTGTGGGTTTATATTATCTTCCCCTGGATAGCGTTTTGGAATCCCTGAAACTGAACAGTTCACTAAACTGCAGGGTTTTGTTTTCATAGTCTCTGCATGGCTTTGATAGGTGGCTTAGCATTAACAGCTGCCTTCGTTTGTTTTTCAGAAGGGATTAAGGAAATGCCAGGGCAGAGAAAACCTCACCTGTCTTATGTGGGCTTGTCTCTTCCCACCTGCTTGCAGGCCCTGCTCCTTTCATGTTCTAGATTTGCTATTAAGAAATTAACTTAATCTGACTAAAACTCATATTCGTAATTTGAATTAAATAGCGTGAGGATAAAAGCTTTCATATGTTTAATTCTTAGTTTCTGTTCAAGTTTGCTTACTTTGAAATGGCCTTTGCAGGCATGCTTCACAATTGTCAAGTTCTATCTGTGAAGTGCATAGGCGCTCCGTAGCAGGTTTAGGATTGTTGCAGTGTTTCTTTGATTGCTCTTGTTTTGTGGCTCAATGTGATTGTTTTACCATGCTTCTAGTTTCATCTGTGTGCAAGCTTTTTTCAAGACAATCCAGCACCCATTTCGCCTTTCAGTTCAACTATAAGCATCAAATCTGCAAGACCTGTCCTCAAGTCACCCAACAAGCAGCTCCGGATGACAGTTGGCAGTAAGGTACTGTGTGTACAATGCTGCTCTGTGATGCTCCTACTTTCAGGGTAGTCTGAGACTAAGTACTGTATTCTGCTGTTCATTGGGAAGCATCTGATTTCCAGTACAAAACTCAGTGACAATGCTGTTCTCTGAGTATGAGTTTAATTTCAAAGTAGGAGAAAATTGGGTGCAGAATAGGACATGAAGTTTCTCGTGTTTGAGATTGAAACCTTAAGAAAATCTCTCGGTGCCCATCCGAAACCTAGCAAAGAATTAAAGAACTTAAGATTAGACTGACTTAGCTGTAAACATCTCAGCAGCAAAACTGTTGTCTGATCTTTTCCAGTTTCGGAGTTCTTTGTCTCTACTCATGGAGACCCTTAACGCCACCACCCCTCACTACGTGCGATGCATAAAGCCGAACGATGAGAAGCAGCCTTTTGAGTAAGTGTGGTGCTTGCTGAGCTTTTGTCTTGTCTGTAAAATGGAAGTACTTTTGTGTTTCACATTAGCTACCTGTTATTGAGCAGCTTCGTGTAGAGCATGGATTTTGCCTTTCAAGATAGGAGAGTAACAGATTTGGAGAGTAACAGCCACTGCGATTTTTTGAGTTTCCCTTTTGTCTGCAGAAATATTTATAAGTCAGAGAAGGTCTGAGCAGCACCGAACGTAACTTTTGGCCTTTTCACACACGTTTATTTTACTTTAATGTTATAATACAGTCTTGCATGCTAGATAGCTGTGTTTGCATAACTCCTGTGTTCAACCTGATAACCAATAACTGTAAGTGGGAGCTGACCTTGCTGCAGCTGTTGGTTTCTGTGGGCGAACACAAACTAGCTCTCTTGTTTCAGGTGTACAACTTTTAGTTGGAATGTAACGTGCTGACAAGTGAAATACCTGCCATGTATATTCTACATATCTGAGCAGGAAGGAAGAGACCACGTTTTTGTGTTTCTAAATTAATTTTTAGTAAGATAAGCTCATTTTCATGGAATTGGAGAAAATCTCTCTGTGAAAAATACCTGATGCGTGTCACAGTTTCACTGTCCCTGTACTGAAACCTGATTGTTTTGTGTAATAGCAATAAGATGGAAAATAGCTTGGGTAATATAAAGCTATGTCTGAATTAGACTAAAAAAGCATGGAAAGAGCAGTGCCACTAACTGTGAGTCACGGAAATCTCTTTGATGATAATGGATTGATTCTGTAGCACAGTGCTTTGTGCACCTTGGTCCAGAGTTGGAAATGCTCTTTCCATGCCTTTTGTTGTCAATCTTGAACCAAGATCTATAGACACCAATCTTATTTATAATTGGTGTGCTGATGAGTACCTAGAGAGGGTTACTTCCCAATAGACTGCTGAGGAAATTTATTTTTCTGTGTATGTTCTGCACCTCGGCATGATCCTTTGCCTCCTGGTGATGGGAACAGTCATGCTTAACATAGAAAGGAAAAGGACTTATCATAAGACAGAAATAAGGACGTTCTTCCTCTTTTTTGAGGAAGAAAACTTCAATACTCCCTCTTAAGCCCTGAAAAAAGCAAACAAGTAAGATACCGTACAAAATACAGGGAGCCCTTTGTCCTATGAGCAGAAATAGAAATCCAGTTAGTAGAATTGTTAGTTATTACAGTGTGCCAAGCCTAGCACGAATATAAAGTATAACTCTGCTTTTTTAGGTTTGATTCAAAAAGGGTGGCTCAGCAGCTGCGAGCATGTGGTGTTTTGGAAACCATTCGAATTAGTGCACAGAGCTATCCGTCCAGGTAGGGATTGACAGCAGGTCTCCATATCTCAAAAAAATGTATTTCATTTTTTAAAGAATTGCATTTGCTAACTTTCAATTTTTCAGATGGACTTACATTGAGTTTTTCAGCCGCTACAGCATCCTTATGACACAGCAGGAGCTCTCTTTCAACGATAAGAAACAGATCTGCAAGATTGTTTTGCAGCGGCTTATCCAGGTTGGTGCACACTGCACTGATCCATTGCACTGACACATATGCACTGATCCGCTGTGTGTCATATACCATGTTATTAATGAAAAGGCCCTTTTCCCAAGAGTAGTATCCTGCTCCTGAAGTAGGAAAGATAACGTTTCCCTTATTGCTGTCTTTCCTGGTTTAGTTTGTCAAACATAGGCTTGTAAGTCAGTAACCTTTTGTTGTGATGCTGAGTCATGATGTGTTCAGAGGCAGATGATTTAACCTCTGTGTGCTTTGTGTGCTCACTTGCCAGAGAGCCTGACTTTAAAAGTTATTTCTTCTGTGAGTTTTTGCTCTCACAGTTCACCGATTCAAGACTAAATGTGTGCTATAGGGTAGTGTTGAGCTCAAGGAACTGCATTCAGTCAAAGGACGTTGCTTTCATGGTGATAAATCCATGATCCTCCTTTTAATCTGAGGCCATTGGAGTCTGAGTTTGGATATTTAGATATTTTGTATTCTGTTTCTTTCCTGTGTATTGGATTTCTCCCCTTGCCACATAGCCTGTCTATAGTGAAAACAGAGAAGATATGCTTATTTGGCAAGATGGTGTCATTCCAGAATGGGTTGGCTAAAGTGACACTTCATAAAAGGAACAGAGTGTCTTGCCTTGAAAAACAAAAACGCAGTAAATCTGCTGTGTTATTTTTCAGGATCCTAACCAGTATCAGTTTGGGAGAACGAAAATTTTCTTCAGAGCAGGACAAGTTGCTTACTTAGAGAAACTGCGCTCAGACAAACTGAGACACGCCTGCATCGTGATCCAGAAGAGCGTTCGGGGCTGGCTGCAGCGCCGCAGGTTCCTGCGCATGAAGCAGGCGGCCGTCACCATCCAGCAGTACTGCCGTGGGCAGCGCGCCGTGCGGTACTGCGCTTCTGCCTGATCAGTTCACTTGTTGTTCGGGCGCTCCTGAAGGGGTCCGGAAAGTCAAACTTAGCAAAAGTGCCCAGCGTGAATTTGGAAGTGTGGTTTTTATGTAAAAAGTAGCTTGTCCAAATTGTGGGCTTTTTTTTTTTTTTTTTTTTTTTTTTTTCTCTTGATTTTAATTATCTTGAAAATGTTCATTTGTTTGGCTGGTTTGAAGAAAGTATTATGGCGGACTCCAGATGTCTCTCAGATTCCTGAGAGGCCTTTTCCATCCAGCCAGGAAACGGTAGCAGTCATCCACAGAGCAGGCGGAGGAGAAAGATAGCTGTATCTAGGCTTTGAAACGTTCAGGAGGGCAGCGTGAGAATAATGGCTAGTGAGAAAAGGTAGGAAAGGTTGTGAGTTGCTCCCCCTCCTTGGCACGGCTTCACTTTTGTTATTCTAGACTAGTTCCACTAGTTTCCGTAAGTAAGATTGATGCCTCTGTGTTTTGCTAAAAGGAAGTAGTCCTACGTGGTGTTCATTGTCAACCAAACTGTTTTCGTGTGTGTGATTTGTCTGACTGAGGGAAATAAGCATAAAACATCTCATTTGGCCTAAGTAAACGTTTTTGTCTTTTGAATTAAGGCAAGCCATAACTGCACAAGCTCTGAAGCAAACATGGGCAGCTATAATTATTCAGAAATACTGCCGAGGTTACCTCGTCCGTAAGCTTTGCCAGCTCATCCAGGTGGCTGCTGTAACAATCCAGGCTTATACCAGAGGATTTCTAGCAAGGAAGAAATACCGGAAGGTACAGCCTATTGCAAAACTCAATTTCAGTAACTGGAAACGGCAATTACTCCACAAGAAAAATGGAGACAAAGGCAGTGATGCCTGTTACTTTTCCCTGCATGTGTTATTCTTCTACTTATTTCTGTACGTGTATTGTAATAACACTGACACGCAGTAGCTCAGATCTAAATCTCCTAGCTGTTAAGCTGTCTGATTTGTACTTGATGCAGATCACTTAGTGTGATGTGCAGTTGTTCAGGTATGCGTACAGTCTGAATACCTTGCTATGTTGGTACTTCTGAGAGTACGGAGATGCGGATAGCTTCATGGATAACTGATGTCAGTTGAGCCACAGATAGTTACAGGCAGATGTTCCTGCTTTCTTCCAAAGATGCTTGAAGAACACAAGGCTGTGATCCTTCAGAAATACGCCCGTGCGTGGCTCGCCAGGCGCAGGTTTCAGAACATCCGGCGGTTTGTGCTGAACATCCAGCTTTCGTACAGAGTTCAGCGGCTGCAGAAGAAGATAGAAGAACAGGTGAGGGTCGTCAGTCACTTTATGATTTGTACTAATTTTACAATAAATATTGTATCAGTTTTATTCTGAGCTCTCGTGTTGACTGCAGGCTTATGTGAATTACAGTATCAATAGTTTATTTGACAAGACAATTTATATGAAGGATATAATTCTTGGTGACCTGTATTCTTCCTATATCCAACATAGGAAAAATCTTCTGGGATTTCCTTGTATTTTTGAGGCATGCGTTACTGAGATTTTGGGTTAGCTGTGCTAATGAGAAGAGTTAACCTTCTTTAATGTTTCATAACAAATGTCTAATCTCTGCATGAGGTTATCTGTATTAGAATGAAGTGTGTTGCATACTGCTCTAGTTCAACGTGACTTTGGGGAGTTCTGTCTTGAGTTTCTTTCCTAGCTTATTTGTAAGAGCTATACCAGTTACCTTTAAGATGGTAACTTTAATCTCACTGATGGAAACAATCTCTGATGGAAATAACCATGACGAACCTGGAATGGTGAGCAGAAATAGGTCAGGTGCTTCCTTTGTAACTGGGCAGAAGCAAAGCACTGATTATATTGCTCACGTGCTTGAAATTGGTTCTCATGGCCCCTGAAGAATTCTACACAAAAAGCACAGTTTGGCTGATAGAACTATAGAGCTGGGTTTTTTTTGTGGGTTTTTTTTTTTCCACAGTAATTTTTGAGGGGAATACGTAAAGACAGAATGCTATTAAACAGTCTCAGTGTACTACGTTTCCTGTTTTATTTTAACCTGTCTTGCTTGTTGTAGAGCAAAGAAAATCATGGCTTGCTGGAACGATTGACTAACCTGGCTTCAACTCATATGAATGACTTGGATACAATTCAGAAACTTGAATCAGACCTTGAAAAGTTAGCTGCTCAAAAGAGAACTTACGAGGAGAAAGGGAAAAAATATAAAGAGGACAGTGAACAGGTAAATTTTCCCTACATTTGTGTGGTGCTTGTATTATAGTTCTGTTTTTGATTTGCTGGATTTACCAAATGCATGACTGTGAGAGTTACCGAGTGAATTCACTTTGCAGGGGGTGATGTAGAAGGAGGGAGTCTGTATGTTCTTGTCCTAAATGTGAGAACTTGTGACCTATTTCTTCTTCCATTCTTAACTTCTGCGTTTTGCTTGCTTTTTGTGTGTACAGAAAATATTGAAACTTGAGAGTCAGATTAAAGAGTTACGAGAACAGAAGGAGACTTTAGAAGTAAAGCTGCAAAAGAAAACAGAGGAAATGAAAGGTACAATAATTAAAAGGAATCTCAAAGAAATGAGGGCAAGTCATACAATCAGGTTGTCAGCAAATTAAAATGAGTTTTGGTCTAATAAAAGACAATGTAAGTGCTTAATTTACAGTAAATTGAAAGTTGCAGCTAAGCATCTCTTCCATGAAATGAGTTGAAAATGTTTAGTGCAAGTGTTGTTAATGTCATAAATTAAATCTGTTATTTTAGTAACAAAAGCTTTGCTGTTATCTGTTTTTCCTGTCTCAGGGGCAGCACTTTGTCTTCCTTTAATTAGCTGTTTTTAAGAATCCAGCCTCATGGGAAACAAGCAGTATGTGAAGTCAGCTGTACTTCAGAGCAGTCACATTTTGGTGCTTCAGAAGCGTTTTGTTCTGTAGCATTACTTACCAAGTTTATTGGGGTATTCTTGACATTTTAGACAGTTTCACCTTACGAATTGCTATTAAAATTAAAACTTCTCATTGTGATAATGCTTTTTTAAGTAATGCTCATCACTGCATGAAGTTCTTTGAAATATCACAATGTTCTTTGACAGAGAAAATGGATGACCTCACGAAGCAACTTTTCGATGATGTACGAAAAGAAGAAAGTCAGAGAATGTACGGAAGCAGAATTTCATTCGTTTGAAGCAACATTTTTTTTTTCTTTTCCTCTTTCTCTGCTTTTCTTTTTCCTGCTGTAATTATGATTTATGCACTCATCGTTTATGAGTCTATCAGTGTTCTTGAACAGTGATGCTCGTTCTTACATACTTTATGTACCGTTGAAGATGAGTGCATGCTTGCAGGTCAGTCAGATGCAGGAAAATATATTGAAGGCTTGAGACTCTTCGTGCTTTATTTGTGTCATTGAGAACTGATACATTTTCAGTATTCAGTCAGGGTCAGAAAAGCAGCTGATGACCATACTAGATTCAGCTTGAAGGAAAGGCAGCGTCTAAGTGTTTTAGAATAAAAAATATAGAGGAGAAACCATTTTTTCCCTTTGGAATGTTATTTTGGAGTGTTAACAATCATGCTGTTTAGCTACGTGTGTCTGATGGTTTGCAGTATGCCAGATATGCAGTATCAGATCAAATGTTTAACTCTTTACGAGACAGAGAACCTTAGGTACCAAATAAATGCCATCCTCAGAAATTTGAAGAGTGTAACAAATCAGTGTTAGTGAGGATTGGAAGCTGTATGGGACTTCAGTTCCATCTGATTTCAGTTTGACTTCAAACTTTTTCATTAGTTTTCCTGCATTTCTCACTGGCTCTATTACATTGGAAGCCAGTCCATTCCAGCTGGGGCCAGTAGAAAATAATAGGGATTTCTGCTCTGTCTTTATTCAGTGCTTAACATGGGCATAAACATAGCAGAGAGCTGCTCAAGTGGGTGGTCTCTCAAAGAGTTAGAGAATTAGCCTTTAAGTGGAGTGTTCCATCTGCCTTGAATTCAGTCCAAAAATCTGAATAGAACGTAGAGAAATCCAGGGACGTCCACATCCCACTGTCATCCATTTTGTAGGTTGGTTCTGATGACCCAGCCTAGCATTTTCAAGCAGTCGCGGTTCCTTTGAGTGTCCTTTGCTGAGGCACATCCTTCAAGTTTAAAGAAAAACAAAGTCCACTCTATTTCTTCCAAATGCCTCATTGTCTCATTTAGGATACTTGAGAAAAATTTCCAAAGTCAGAAACAAGACTATGAAAAGGAAATTGAATCGCTCAAGGGAGAAATAAAGGTTCTCAGAGAAGAAAAAACACAGCTACAGCAACAAATGCAGCAAGAGATTGCCATTCAGGATGACCTGAAAATAGAAGTAGGACAACTTACAAAACAAGTGCAGGTAAAGCATGACTCACTTCATTTTGGAGTCTGTCCTGGATAAAGCAAGTAGGCGATGGAGATGTTTTATTTATAGATTATTTTCTTTCTTTTTTGTTTCCTCAATTTTGAAGAAATTGTAGCTAATAAGTTGTATTTGATCCAGCACTATACTGCATCCTTTTCATGTACTTCTCAATATAAGTTACTGTTCACATAAAAATTTCAAGGATACAACTGATTGCGCCTGAATGTTTATGTGTGTGGACCTTTTTTTTTTTTTTCTTCTTTTTCCCCAAAGGCATTAATTTCTTTAGTTTGTTTCTCATAAATATAGTTTATAATCTGACTGTGAAAATACTGTTTTTGTGTAAAGTCACATTTTTTCCTGTGAGTCATGTCCATGACGCAAATACATGATTTTTCACTGCATCAAATTATTGTTTAGCAGTGATGCCTAAAAAACCAGACACTTCTGAAGACATTTAAAGTCTTCTGGCTCATGATCTTGTTGTTATTAATAGTTTTCTTTATGACTTAACTGTTACTTAGCCCTTCTCATTCACTTTCTGTCTGATTCAGAAAATACCTGAGTTGCAAAAGGAAATTGAACTGCTGCAGACGCAAAAACTGGATGTTGAAAAACAGGCCCAATCACAGAAGAGAGAGATGAGGGGTAAGCTACGTGCTAGGTAATTCAGAGAATCTACCAAGCACAGTGTAAACTGGCTGGTTTAAGTTGATGGGTTTTTAAAAAATACTGGCTAGCTTTGACCAGAAAACCAGGTATCTTTCTCATCCTGTAGTGATGTCATTCTGTTCAGAGCTTTGTTTGCAAGGTGCAAAGCAAAAAACAAGTGAGTTTTTGTGAAGCAGTTGCTGAATACCAGATCTGTGGTATTATCCTTTTTAAGAATCGCTGATTTCAAATATTGTGTTTAAAAATCAATACTGGAGGTCTGAACTTCACATGAACTTAATATCTCATAAAGTCTCAGAAATATGGAAAGAATACATCATCTGGCCTTCATTCAGCCTGTCTTTGGCCTCCGGTCTCATCAATAATTTGCTGAGCTGGGGCCCCTTTGATGAAGGGTACCTGGTCTGAGCACTACCGTTGTGCACTTAGTGCAATACTGAGAATGCATCTTACATGGCAAACTTGGATCATTTAGTGTGGTAAGCCAGCATTTGGTGACAAATCATCTGTGTAACTGTAGCAGTTGTCTAGATTTGAAACAGAAAGAAGTAACTTGGCAATGAAAGTGTGATATGTTTAAAAAACAACAAACATCAATGTACAAATAAACCAGCTATGTTGGTAGTGTACCTAAATAGTGCTCCTTCCATGTTCCAAAGTACAGCCATGTCCCTTCTTGTATTCTGCTGGTAAATAAGCACTGAGTAACAGGGAAGAACCTCACAGATTCAGGAAGAGGTTGGTTTGATTTTTATAATTACAAGTGATTTGAAATGTGAGGAGAAAGTTATTGGGATCATTTTTTATTTATGTATTTATTTATTTAGTCATATATATATATATATATATATATATATATATATATATATATATATAAAATCTATATATATATTTATTATTTTTTTTCCTCAGAAAAGATGTCAGAAGTTACAAAACAGCTTCTTGAAAGCTACGATTTTGAAGATGTCAGAAGCAGGTAATAGTTCTCCTTCAAAAAAAAAAAAAAAAGATAATTTAGAAATGCATTTTGTTCACCTGCCTCCTATTGACACTGCCTTGTGTTTTAGGCTGTCTACAGAGGATTTGGAACACTTAAATGAAGATGGAGAATTGTGGTTTGCTTATGAAGGCTTGAAAAAAGCTACAAGGTTAGTCATTGTCTATGTTTTCATAACTCCAGGCTGTGATCTAGAAGATAAACAGAACAATCAATGAGTAACTTGACAGTGTGATACTGAACATCTGCCTAACAAACGTTATCTTTTATGATTGTCTCAGTAGCTCAATCTAATCAATGAGATAAATATTGTATGTGTCTGGGAAATATTTCCTCAAAGACAGTATGCATGACCTCCATCTCTTCTAATGCTTCTGTGATGTAATGGAATATCTGTATGTTGAGCACAGTGCTTTTTTCATCTGTATTAAACGTGATCTAATGCACTTACATCATACTGCATCTGTAATTTTTCATTTTTCCCTTTGTTTTTAAAAGAGTATTGGAAAGTCACTTCCAATCTCAGAAGGAAAACTATGAAAAGGAGATTGAAGGTTTGAACTTGAAAGTTGAACATCTTAGCCAAGATATTAATCATCTACAAAAACTATTTCGAGAGGAAAATGACATAAATGATGGAATTCGGCTTGAAGTTAGCAGGCTAACTTCAGAAAACCTGGTAAGATCAAGATGTAGTCAAGCAAAGATTGTTTCAGGTACTTGGCAGTGCGATCCAAAACTGTCAGTGGCACAAAGCCCTCAAAAACTCGGCGTCATGTCTTGACTTTGCAAGGCTCAATCAGATGTGGCCACCTGAGGTTGCACATCCACACCAACTTTTTCCCAAGTAATGCCTTGCTCAGCTATAAGAACTAAAGTAGGGGAAGAAGAAACAAAGTCTGTTTTGCTGCCAAAGTGGCTCTTGTTTGAGTACTGGTATGACTGGGTGTTTAGGGTGAATAACTGGCTTTGCTCTGCTTGCTGGTTTTGGCTTGTTTTTTCCCTTCATCTATTAAATAAATTTTATCTTTCCACAAGCTTTCTCACTTGTGCTCTTCCTATGCTCTCCTTTCTCTCCTTTTTTGCATTGTGGTAGGAGGAGGGTGGTGGTGGTGGTGAGTTGGCAGCTCTGTGGTTGCTTGACTTCAGTCTGAGGCCGAGCCACGACGAGGAGCTGGTTCAGGGTTTAGGTATGCTCTTCTCCCCTTGTGGTCAAAGGATAGAAATTAGCATCTTCTGGTCTGAAGCCTCTCTTTTCTCTCAGGTTGAAAAGTTCTATGATTTGATTGTCAGTGAAAAAACAGATGCCTGGGGGATGTAAGAGGTGATAGGTCTGTGTAGCTTAGCGGTGCTCTCCACCAGAGGGCAGCTAACCACGTAAAGTTGCTAATAAGTCACAGGCAAGGCTTAAAAGTCAAGATGTATATAAAAGTCAAGTATAGCTATAGAAATATTTTCAGAAAAAAAATCACTGAAATTGAAAACATAAGGAAAAACATGATATTATTTTTACAAGATGATTTTATAATGTATAAGTGTGTGTTTTTGTTTTCTTCCCCCAAAGTGAAGGAAAAGATAGGGCGATTGGAGCCAGGAAAATTAATTGTGTAATTCCCTTTTAACTGCAGAACGTAAAAATGGCAGTATTGGGTCAGTTCAAACATTTAGTTAGCTCACTATTTCAATTTTAAGAATGGCCCAGCAGCAAATGTCTCTGGAAAAGTTAGGCAAGTTGTGCAAGCAAGAAGGACTCCCTCAGTATGTCTGCCTGTCTTTTAACTACTTGCAGTTGAAGGTCTTCTGATCTCATAGGTATTATTGGAGATGTTTCAAACTAAACGTGCTGAGATGCACAAATGTCCTTTTTTCCTCTGGAAGGTGATCCCAGATCTTAAACAGCAAGTTTCTGAGCTTGAGAACCAAAAATTAGACCTTGAAAACCGTCTTCAAGAGCAGACTGCGAAGTTGAAAGGTAAAGTGCCATTGTAAGGTGCCACTGTGGTCCACAGTCCTACAGTTGAGAATGAATTATGATTGAGTTATGAATTCCATAGACATGAACTTATAACAACTGAAATAGTGTTACTTCTTTGCCTGTTTACGTGCTTTCTTGCCAGTAAAATGTAAGAAGCATCATGAAGAAAAAAAGTATTGTGTAGAGAATAGCTCTGCTAGTTAAGAAAAATACATGTAAATGTGTACAATTCTCCGTTCTGCTTTTGAACTTTTTTTAGGTCTTTCAGTTCTGCAGTTTAGATGTCTACAAGTATGTTCAGTAGGGCTGTGCTAAGAATACGTGTAATGGAGTGCGCCCTTTGGAAGCAGTCACAAAAAGAAAAGATGTACTGGAGCTTAAGTTGTAGTCCATGAAATAGATTCAAGGAGTGAAAAAATCAGAGTTGGAGACAGAAGGAAAACTTCCCGCTAATTTGCTTGTTTCAGAGTTCTTCTCTGTTCAGGAAAACATCAGTTGCTGAGGATTCTGTGTCTCTCTAACTGTAGTGTCCTCTGAGGCAACTTTTTTTAGTTTGCAAGTAGTTTTACTGCCAGCTGCAAAAAGTGGATAGTATCAGAATTCCCTAGCACATAAAATCTTCTGTGTGGCGTAATCAGAACATTTTCTGATACGTTATATGGCATCATTCCATTTTGTTAAATAAAACTACGAGCTTAAGAAAAAGCTTTACTAAATACTAATACAGAACAGTAAGCAAATACAATCTTGTTTTTCTTTCGTTTTGCATTTTATTGCTAAAGAGATGTCTAACCGGCTGCATCATGAGCCAGAAGGGGACAGAACACTAAGACGGTAAATAGCTTCCTTCTCCTCTTCCCCCTCTCCTCCTCTTCCTCCTCTCCTCTCCCTCATACTGTAAGAAGTGCCATGGGCTGGGAGTAACAAACTCACAGTTGAAGTTCTACATCCAACGTATGATTCACCCTGTAACAGAGTACAGCTAACAGCTGTAACAGGTAAGCATGATGTGATTGTGCTTTAACAGAGGAAGAGTATAAGACAACGCTTCCTGTCTGTTTTTAGAACAAATGAGATCCAGAATGAAATGGACATAAAAGAAAAAGGGAGGTTGAATGTCATAACCCAAGAAATGGAGGGGCTGAGCAATGGTTTGAAGCAAGATGAAATCCAGGCTGAAGTAAAAAGCAAGATGAAGCAAGAAACAACTCGGCTTACTGTGGAAAACATGGTGAGGAAATGAAATCCTCGTTAAGAAACTGTACTGAAATACAGGATAAAAAGAAAGAAATCATGATTTTATGGTATGGGCGGGATGTTTTCTCAGTTTGTTGGGGGATGAGAAAGGTACAAAGGTTTCGTGTTTCTTCGGCACAATGTAGAATATGTTGTAATGCTCTTTTTGTGACAGTATCATGTAGCACTAGAAGGGATTTCTTTATTTCCATTGCTCTGAACTCACCAATTTGGATTATTATAGGACCTTGAAGAAGAACTAGACATGAAAGATAGAATAATAAAGAAATTGGAGGATCAGATCAAAACTCTTACCAAGACTATTGAAAAAGGTAAGATGTTGTTATATCACCTTTTCTCATAACTTTGAATGTTCAGTCTGTGTTTCACTGAAAGTAGTTTTACAAAAACAAAAAAAAAGTAGGCTTTGAAGGGTTTGAGACACAAAACCTCAGGAAGCCATCAACAGAAATTTTATAAAAACCTGTGGTTTTTTTCCAGCTAAATAATGGGCATACGTGGGACCTAGACCATATGAGAAAGTTTCATTCAGAGGCATCAGACTCTGACAGCAACAGTTAATACACACCCTCACACAAACTGTCTCTCAGCCAACAGGATGTTAGCTTTGCAGATGAGTATATCCTCCCATTGGCATTCAGGTGGCAGATGGTTACTGATAGGAAGTAAATTTGTACAAAGTTGTTATGCAGCAAGTAGTTCTTTACCGCAGAATATGCTTCAGAAGGATGCAGAAGTGACTAAGGCAGAGGTGTGCCACTGCTGTTTGTTTTCCTTATTTAATGTAAGTAATTCCACTGAATCCATTGAGACTATTCACATAAGTAATATGAATGTTATTTAACTCAATGTTTGGAACTGTAACTTAACAACATCCATGTGAACGGGCACTGTACTCTTTACCATAGAGGAACTGTTTTTCTCCAATAGTTTGTTCTAACACAAATGATGACTTAGCAATTTACCTGCTGTTCATACTGCTTTATGTTTGACAGGCAATGAAGTTTCTGTGTCAGCTTTGTCCAAAGAGTACATTGGAATGATGGAGTACAAAAGAGAGGATGAAGAAAGGATTGTTCAAAATCTGATCCTCGGTATTTTAGTAACATTCGGAATTTTATTGTTCTTCAGTGATATTCAGCATAGAGCACAACACTGCAGCGCAAACTACAAGATGCCATATTTCATTTTTGTTCAAAGTTGGCTTTATCTCACTCTCTTCCCACCAGCACAACTTGGAGATGCTACGTTGCTTTTTTTTCCTACTGACAATCATTTCAAATACAAAGTGATTTATCTCTGACTCTACATAATTCTGACTCTAATGTTTTCCTTACTCTTTGTTCACTGATAAAGCTGTAAGTCTCAGGAGCGCTCTTGGAACTTCAGTTTACTTTCTCCCTAGTCATCTACAAAGACTGTAAGTCACTGCGTGTCTGTCCATGTGTGGTGTCTTAATCTTATCTGTCCTCTGCATATAATTTCATTCACTGATGAGAACTGTACTTTTGAGTTCCCCTTGTAAGGGAATTTTGCTCTTCCTCCGAGTCGCTTCACAATGCCAGTCTTGCATTAGCTTGCCATTAGTGGGAACTCCAACAATTTCTCCATGCACATCAATACTCTTATTAACTACTACTTGGAAGTAACTTCTTCCTTTCCTCCTCACCTACTTCAACCTTACTTCAACATTTGAATGTCACCTTATTTGTGAAGGCAGGTGTGTCTTCACACAGTGCCAGGGAATTGTGGGCCTTACTACAAATAGCTAAATACAGGCCAGTGTATTTTTGAAGCTATGCTATCTCACATAGCATGCTATAGCCCAGAATTTGCTGCGATGCTCTCCTTATTTTCTGGAGTTAATTAATGCTTAATTAATGCTTTCACATGAGCAAAGCAATACTATTATACAAGTTTTCAGTAAGGAGCAATTCATCACTGTAACAATTATCAAGTGGCTCATTGCTGAAGAAATGAACCTAAAGGTGCTTGTCTTTTTCAGAATGATGCATTAAAGCTCTGTATTTTTATATAATGAACCTGATGACTCTCCTTTATGCAGATTTAAAGCCACGTGGAGTTGTTGTCAATATGATACCTGGCCTTCCAGCTCACATCCTATTCATGTGTGTGAGGTATGCAGATTATCTGAATGATGCTGACATGCTGAAATCTTTCATAAATGTAACCATTGATGGTATAAAACAGGCTGTTAAGGTAGGAATTATATTTGGCTGTACTTTACTTTTTGATTTTCATGTAAAGTTTATAAGATGCATACATAGTACCGGGGAAATACTGATACTTGCATCTGCTAGTATTCCTATAACAAATAATTATTATTATTAGTTACGATCTTTTTGGTGTTATTAGTAGGATCCTTATGAAGCCTACAGGTAAGGTTTCTTGTGCTGAATATGCTAACATCTTTATCCAAATTCAGATATGTGAATGCTTTGTATATTTGTGATGCAATAAGACATCAACTGCGCTTGGTAGGAATGAACTGCGCTTTAAGCAGTTGCATTTGTTGTGTAGAAAATGCTTATATTTTATCCACAAATTTATACCACATTTTACCCATAAGAAAAGCTTGTGTGTGTGTATCTAACAAAAAGAAGACATACTAAAGCAAAGTTAGAACTGTGCTTACAAATAGTTCAGTTTCATTTCTGTGTGGACATTGTTCGTGCTTTGGCAGGAAGGCCTCCAATGCACTGCAGTGCTGCAGATAGAAATGTGTAACACCGGGTCAGACTGATGTCTTTAGCCTGTCCCTTACGTAGACTTGAACTGCGTTTAATGAGTAAAAGAGGGGTCTTTGCTATACATTCACTCATCTGAAAAAATCCCAGAATGATTTGTATAGCTGGCACGTTTCAGGTGCTGTGTTTCTTTTTCTGTAGATAGGTGGTGGTATTGCTAATTCTGTGATCTTTAGCTCGATCTAGTGATCTTTAGCTTCAGTTTTGAAGTGAAATTAACTTCATGACAATGCCATAATAAGATTGCTTTGTCTTTTTCAGGGAAATTCAGAAGATTTTGAGATGTTGTCTTTTTGGCTTTCCAATACATACTATTTTCTTAACTGCTTGAAGCAATACAGTGGGGAAGAGGTAGGAATGATTTCATCAAATAATTTCTTTGCTTTACCTTTGTCAGACTTCAGTAAGTAAAATGGACAGAGATAGTCAGTAGATAATTATTTGCCAACTCAACGCTGTTCCTTCAGGATGTGTATTGCTTTGCATTGGTGACATGTTTTACACATACAAGAAGTCAGTACAGAAGTAACTGATAAAGTGAAATCAGAACATGAAAGTGCTGAGGTTAGTTGAAGACATAACATGATAACAGTTAAGTAATTTGAATTCTTGTACACGAGCTTAATCTGAGCTGCATTTGCTTGTTTAAGCTGGTTTCATCCTGGAATCCAAGACTCTTTTAAATTGCAAACTCTTACTATATGATAATTTATTAATATGTTTTGTTAACTTATATAGGCTGAATGAAATTGAATAAGTAAGAATGCACTCCTCAGGATTAAAACAAGTAGAACTTGGAATTACAGTAACTGTGCACAATCTAAACAGCAGTACTCCCCCTCGTGGTTCCATTGATAACATGTAATGCACAGTGAGAAATGTATTTAAATGTAATAAATAACAGTTGTTTGTAATTTAACACTGACAGGAGGGAGAAGTCTGAATCCAGTACTTTCAAGCGTTAACCTGTATTTGAAATGAACACTTAAGACTTCACATAAGTTAGCATCCAGTCTATATTTTTGAAAGCAGAATTCTCCTGATGAAAAGTCAGTATAATAGATATTGAAAATAGAGTTGTAAACTATTTGATTTAAAAAAAAAAAAGTTTAATTTTCTGTTTAAGTAATCTAGGAATTGCTCCAAAGACCACTGGAATATGTGCAAGCCTCTCTTTTGAGTTTAGTAATCTTTTAGAACAGGGTAATCTTAAACATTAACTGGTAAACAAGTAAAGGAAGCTCAGAATTAGGAGCATCCATTGAAGTTAGCAGATGCTCTGACTCATTCTGAGACTGTTTGGCCAGAGATAGAGTGTATAATTTAATATATACATTAGTACATAATACCAGTTTACAAGAATAATGTTTATGTGATTTCTAATATTTGTTTTTACACTGTAATACAGGAATTTATGAAATACAATACCCCTCGTCAGAATAAGAACTGCCTGAAGCATTTTGATCTCTCGGAGTACAGACAAGTTCTCAGTGATTTGGCCATTCGGATCTATCACCAATTCATTCTTGTAATGGAGAATAACATTCAGCACATGATCGGTAAGACAGCAGAAGTCCAATTGAAGATAAATGTAGCTTATGAAGAACTTGTGTAAAGCCTATGCATGGAGGCAAAGGATGGAACTGACTTCTTCTTCCTGTTGATTTACACTAGTAGCTGCCTGCATGTTTCTGCACGCTTAAATGTGAATGTTATATCCTTGAAGGGCTTTCTCCTCTCTATGCTTTCCTTGTGTAGGATAATGCTTTCAAAAAGACCAAAATTCTATAAAAATAAAAGTTATTTTCTTAAAAATGTGTGTGATTCAGAAGCCCTTGTTGGGTATTCTATCTATATAATATTATTTAAATTTTAAAATATCATGAAATTATGTTTTGTTCAAGAATTAAGTTAATGTAACTGGGAGGAGCTATAGGAATGACTCCTATAATCTTGCAATTATTTTCTGTTGTCTTTCAGTGCCAGGTATGCTGGAATACGAAAGTCTCCAGGGAATTTCTGGCTTGAAACCTACAGGGTTCCGTAAACGTTCCTCTAGCATTGATGACACGGATACCTACACAATGACATCTATCCTGCAGCAACTCAGCTACTTTTATAGTACGATGTGCCAGAATGGCCTGGACTCTGAGCTTCTCAAGCAGGCGGTGAAGCAGCTTTTCTTTCTCATTGGAGCGGTCACCCTCAATAGTCTCCTCCTCCGCAAGGACATGTGCTCTTGTAGGAAAGGAATGCAGATAAGGTAAAGCCAGGAAGCTTTCAGCAAGTGGTTGCTTCAGAATGAATGTTTAACATTTTTTTGTAACCTAGTCCTTTATCTCTGTGTCACTGGATGTTCTGTGACCATTCTGTTGGAAGCAGCCAACTGTTTTTCACTGTTTTGGAAAAAATACATCTTTGCCTTACCAGCTAAGCTTTCTGTGCTTAGCATACTACAGCAGGGAAACACTAATGGAGAAAATATCAGTAGAGAGCTCGAAGTCAGTCCAGTGTTTAGCATTCTTCCGATGCTTGTTGGCTCATGATGATGACTAGTATTCTTAGTAGAGTAAGCAGGTACAGCATCCCCTGTCTGGCAGACAGATAGAAGCAAACTTGCACTGTTTGTGCTCTGTCATGAGAAAAGAAAGCACTGAGACAGAGCCATTTGAGGGTTCAGGTCAGACGTCATCCATCTTATAATCTTGAAGAGCCTACGTTCCAAACAGTTCTTGCAAAATACACATAGTTCATTCCTTCTCCATTAGGCAGTCTGCTGGCTAAGGTGAAAGAAAATCAGTCAAATGTTGACCCATTTCAGAATATTACTAAAAGAAAGCTGCTGTAACTTCTAGAATTTAGTCTGATTAGTAATGTGTAAAGATTATTCTAATGTCCTATATAAGCTTAGCTGTAAGTTAATGTTTTTAACATATACAGTGCTGTGATATAGTTGCCAGTGCTAGCAGATATTGGTATTCTGATTCTTCTGTAACAGCTAAGCTACTAACTTGCTTTCTGTTGGTTGACCTTTAATATATAAAGTGAATAAATTAAAAGGATTAAAGTATACAAGAGATTAAACTTAAAAATCAGCAGGCTATTAATTGTTTGATATTTATGATGTACAGGAATGGTGGTTTTTATTATTTAAACTGTATGAATGTGAACATTGAATTGGAGGAACATTGCTTCTCTAGAAGACTTCAGTGTAATTTGTTTGACAGAAGGGACCTGACATTTCTGTTGTCTGTTCGTGGTATAACCTAGATGTAATATCAGCTATTTGGAAGAATGGCTTAAAGACAAGAATCTTCAAAGCAGCAATGCCAAAGAAACTTTAGAGCCTCTGTCTCAAGCAGCCTGGCTCCTTCAGGTCAAAAAGATCACTGATGATGATGCCAAAGAAATATGTGAACACTGCACATCGCTTTCCACTGTGCAGGTAATGAACCATTTGTTTTATTCTGGCACCAACCTTGCTAACATAACTTGCTGCAAAGAGCTATTGGCCTTTCATTTGATAAAAACAACATTTGTCAGCTTTCTCCATCACCCCTTGTTATATTCGATTTTTTAACTCCTTATTTCCAACTGTTAATGCTTTCACTGCTTCTGTGGTGAATACTTGTCTGCCTTGTTCTATTTCACTTCATTCCACAATGATTATCTCTTTTTGCTTTGTTAGAGGCATTTTTGTTGTTTTCTTCTATCAGTTCCGCATCTCCTTGATCCTGCTGACAGATTTGGAAACGACTCACAGCAGTGATCATGTGTGCAAGAAATAATTAGGTTCCAGGTTGAAATTCTCACTTTATTGTAAAATTTCTTACATAAAGTTCAATTAAATACCAATGAAGGTGGCATTTTAATGCTTTCTTCACTTTTTGTAACATACTAAAACAGTGTGTTGTAATTTGAGCAGATAGTTAAGATCCTCAACTCATACACTCCGATAGATGATTTTGAGAAAAGAGTGACTCCGTCGTTTGTTCGCAAAGTCCAGGTAAGAGCTGCACCTCTTCTCTTTCATGTTCAAGTTACAGGGTATTTCAAACGCACAGTATTTGTAGCTACGTATTTATACTTGACCTGTATGTCAAGTAATGACTGCACTGTTCAGCTTTTCACTGGGAGACTGCACTCAATTCCTTAAAATTACACGAAGGCAAAATTTGCAATGAGAAAAAGCGATGTTTTTTATTTGATTGGAGTACGCTGTTATCTTACCCTTTCTGCTGTCATTTCAGGCTATGCTAAACAATCGCGAGGACGGACCGCAGCTGATGCTTGATACCAAATACCACTTTCAAGTGACGTTTCCTTTCACACCCTCTCCACATGATTTAGAAATGATACAAGTCCCCAGCAGCTTCAAACTTGGCTTTCTCACAAGGGTTTAGTAAAACCAGTGCTTTGGTATTTTCTCTGAGACTGAATAAGGACAAGTAGACTTCCATGCTTCCTTCCTCTTGCTGGAGGATGGTATGGAAGCTTGCCATGAATTAAGCCATTAAAATCTTGTTCTAAAGTCAAGACTTAAAAAATAAGAATCATTTCAGCTTGTGATTTCCTTCTCTGTTTGTTTTTTTTTTACTGTTGTTCATTCTTCTTTACAGACCTATAATAATGACATCAGCTGGATGCAATTCCACACAGTTTTTTAGTCCAAACCTGAGGAAAGAATTTATCTGACAAGTTTACATTGGTTCTCTGTCAGTAACATTAAAGCACTAGTCATAGGGAAAAGGTTATGCTAGGATCAATATACTGTACAGTTTTCCTTGATTTGCTTTTGTACCAAAATATTTTTTTTTTCCCCAGGATCATTGTTGTCTTGTGCTCTACTGAATTTGTTTGATAGTAGTATTCACCCTTCTATACTTTCACTGCCTTTATTCCTTTCGTGAAGTAAGTTGTTCATGAAAGTTGGCAAGAGGACTGTAAAGAAGGGAATAGAAAGTCCTCCTACATTTGTTTGGATTTTTTAATGTATTTTGTTGTTTGTTTTTTTTTTGATACAGATAGCTACATTGAACCTGGGGGGCTGAGGTCAGTCTAAGAGCATTGCTGTAATAAACACACGCTGTCTCTGTAGGAATGCTGGCTTGGCTCGCTCAGGCTGTGTGCATTATAGTTCAGGCACAGCAGACAGCTCTTCAGCCAGGGGAGTAATTTGGGCTCTTCTTTTGTAGGCAGATTTCAGCTGTGTTCTCTGCAGTGCATCTGGATTTTTGTATCAGTTATCGGAGTAGAAAAGTCAGATATGAAATTCCTGTTGTGATCCAAATTACAAGTTTATTTCTTTAAAAAACAGGAGTCCTGTTTTAGCTCCATTTCTAATGCAATGTCTTTAGGAACGTACACTGAGTATGCACTTATGTACGGATATTTCTTTCTCCCATTCATTTTTGCTTGTTTCCCTCCCCTAGTTCAGATACTGAGTAGGAGCTATGGTCTGAAATTACTGATAAACCAATCTTAATTCCTTGCATTTTTAAATTGCAGGATCCTTAGAAACAGAAGTGGTCTCCTTTTTGTTTCGTTCAACTTGATTCCTGTAGGCAGAACCAAAGAATAACAACTTTCTTTAATACTAGATCCTGTCAGAACAACTGGAGAATCAGCATGCACCTTGCATGCAGTGCACTGCAGTGATGGCTGTCATTAGAAATTCCTAAGAACATACTGCTAGTTTTCTGGTTAGGCTATTGTGGAAATATAGTACTAAAGCTTAGAAATATTGAAGGGATTCTAATTGACTTAGTTAATTTAAATATTACTGGAAGAGACATTTGATTTTTGTATTACATAATGTTTAAAAGTTGTAAATATAAAGAAGAATATTTTTGTTATATTTTGTCCTTGATATTTACTATGAACAGTGTCATATTCATAGAGATAACTACAGAGATGCATAAAGAATATATGGAGGAACATTTTCATGTTTTGTTCAAAAGCTGTAAAAGTACAGAATTTGGAGATGTGTGGGTAGGCTGGTGTTCTTATCTGTTAAATAAAGCAGCTTCTAGATCAATTTCTAGTGTTCCGAGTGATGCAGATATTTTCAGTAAACAGTTATTAACAATTTACTTGGAATTATGTTAACATTGGTGGATACTGCCTTGTGTTGTACCCTGAGTGTTTATTTACTGATCCGATTGCTGTGCTGCAGCACTGTGCATCTTCCTATGGGAATGGTTTGCTGCTCCTGGTGAATTTCTATACTGATTCAGTGAGAGCAAGTTTAGTTGCTGTAGTTTGCACATGGCCTTTTTTACACATATGGAGCTGTATGTCACCTGACAAGGAATGAGAAAAAGCACAGTGCACTCTTGCACTGACATCACAAGGTGTCTGAAGGTATGTGTGTATGTATGTATGACAAAAGTTGTTGGTGGAGGAATTGTTCTGACAATTTGAGAAGTGAGTTTGAGAGGAAATTTACTGTGCTTTTGATGTTAATGTCTTCAGCCAGTGTGTAGGTACGGAATTCTGTCTTTTGTTTTCCTTCTTGGAAGGAGTGGTATTAGTGAAGGGCAGATACATGAAGAGGCGTTTCTGAGGTTATCCTTCCTAGAATGATACGAAAGGAGAAAGCTATTCATTCAAATGGAAAAGTACAGAATGATGATCCTTCTGCAGCGGAAAGCGCTGAAAGTGCTTAATGGAATGTGTTTAGGTGTGTGACTGCTGTGCTTCCTGCCACCTTGAGCACAGATGATCATTTTCTGTCCTGCATTTCCATAGTATTTGGGTTAAAAAAATTAGGATGGGTTAGCAGATGTGAGTTTCAGCACTTCTAAAATTTTTCAGTAGTTTTCATAGCTTTCCCCTAAGTTTTTAAAAAATCCAAGAAAGCAGCAGTTATTAATCCTGTTGATTTTTCAAGTTATTGTCTTAAAATGAGTGAATAGTAGACATACATCCAAGGAAGGATGAGCATGGTCACCACTCGGTTTTTGACTTAGAATTTTCTTTAAGAATATGATGTAAATTCAACATCTATTAGAATATCAGTTTGGTAAGTTGGAAAACACAAGAGCCAGTCATCTCCCCAGTATATTTAAACTTTTGAAAGATATCAAGAAATGGTTGCAGCATGGAATGGGCAGACGTTATCTATTTTGCTTAATAGTTTATATTCTCTGTTCTATATTCTGAAAGGAAGGCAGTTGAAATAAAGCCTCTCAATTATGGTTGTCAGTATGTAACTGACCTGAAGGGACACAACTGGAGAGGCTGAGCCTTAAATACCCTTTAAGTAGCCTTAATAGGGAGGTTATCCATCCGCGTGGCAGTTGCACACGGCTTCTTTGCTCATCTTGAGAATCTCCAGGTTCTTGCTGTTGGAAAAGGTAGGCAATTTGGGGTATTTATCAACAAGATTCATTGTAGCATATTAGTTGATGTTTTTTATACTTCTAATGCAACCTTTAAAAAGCCTGTTATCCAGATTTATGAATCTAGCACAACTGAGCCCCGCTGTTGTAGACACTTCAGTGCTATTGGAAAAACTACTACAGGGAAGGTCCCTGGAAGAGCAGCAGCTTGGGGACTTGGGCTCACTGTTTGCAGAAGAATGCATTAAAAGCTTCAGGGCGTATTTACTGTCGTTCATCCGATGGGATACGAACCCCCTGGTTGCATATAGCTGGCTGAAAGCTCCGTGTGGATTTCAGCTTAATGTGGTGCAGTTTGTGTCAGGGCAGATTTCTTCACGCACGCTTTGGGATGAAGGCACACAACTCCTGGATGTAACAGAGAAACTTCTGATGATTTGACAGGATTTCTGAGTTCCTGTTGTTGCCTGTTTCAAGCAGTCCACTGAAATACGTAAGGATAAGCAGCTGAATGGAGGCAACTGCACAGAATAAAATTGTATTATGTTTTTATCCAGCCAAACACAGTCTGAAATCAGCATAGTTCCATTTACTTTGCTTCCCTTTTTAATAGCTTGTTCTCTTAACCATAAACTCATTATCTGTGTATTTGGCTAAATACTGATAAATATCTAAATTTTAAAAGCTTTCATTTAAAAACTGGGAAATATTACATTTTTTCCATGGAAAGTAAGGAGGAAATTGTCGCAGTGATATTATTGTTTGTTTTTCTGACTCAAGGAGTTTCTAACTCTCCTTTGATTGTTGTGCTCTGATCATTGTAATGCCTGGCTTGAGCACAAAAAGGGGATTCTTAATGACCCAGCGTTCAGAGTGCCAAATCATCACTTTTTGCTCAAGCAGAACAATGTATGAAATGTATGGCTGCCAACTGAATCCGAGGTCATTTGTCAGCTTTAAAAATACATCATATTGACTATTTAATAATGCAGTGGGGAAAAAAAAACAAATATTGATCAGCTCAGATTTCTCACAAATCCAGCTGCTGGACATTTCTGGTCACTGATGGCATTAGTTACACAGAAACTGAGGATCTGCATGTCACGCATATTATTAATCAGTGTGCACAGTGAACATTACAACAGCATGCAATCAGTGCTCATTATAACAGAATGCATATTTTGCTTTTTCTTTATAAAATTCCAATCTGTAGATCATGTGACTGCCTCGCACGCAGTGGTTGTTCATTAAGCTCAAAAGATTAGTCAGAGATTATCCAGCCTCCAGCTATCTCTATGCTGTCTAAGCAGAGAAGCAGCACGAAGCTTTGCGCTGCACTGGAACACACTCTTTCTTTCTTCTCTCTTTCAGCTCTCCCGTAACGCAGAGATGTGTGACCAGACCTTCTTAGCGATTGTGTTTGGTCCATGTGACAAGTGCTCCAACGAGAAGCCCCTTAGGGCTGTTTACATCAAATCAGAACAGCTCAGCTACTGCTCACTATGTGTGGAAATGGTATGTTATCGATTATATCAGCCGGAATGTGAAGAGACTGCAAAAGGCAGGGGTTGGATGTATTAATGGTCTGTTGTTTTGGATTTTTCTGGACAGAAGCAAGCATTGCTAGGCCTGAAGACTGGCTGCTTCTAATTCAAATAAACACCTCTGCAGACACCTGATATTATTCCATAAGCCTGAAACAGATGTGACCCTGGGTTCAAGGATATGTTTTTTGATTCTTGATTGGAAAGTGGCCATGAGGTTCTTTTCCCTAGGGCACTGCATTCTTCAGCTATGCATGTGTCATGTGCCCATCTGAGCGAGGCTCTGAGGTATACGTGTGTGGGTCTGCTTAGCCTATGATCTTGAGTGTCATCCTTGAATGAAATTTTTAAAAGACAAAGCTATTGCAACAAGCTGACTCAGCACAGACTGGGGGATTGGAGTTAGCTGATCTGTTTCAGCTCTCCTCAGACAGAACTGGAGTGCTCTATGCATGGCCCACCCCAGTCTGAAACCTTGTTGTCTGGTATGCTGTCTGCAGTACTTGGGTGAGGAGTCTGAGGGAGCTGGAGGTAGATGCAAAGAAGATACAGCAAGGAAAGGCTGCATAGCAGTGGTGGTTCTTCTGTCTGTTTGTGGACCAGCACAGAAAGTCCTGCCAGAATACCCACATGAAGTAGGGATGATGTTGGAGACTTTTTGATCTTCAGCAATTATGGTGAGGTGATAAACCACTGCTGTAGTAGGAAACACTGGAGTAACTGTTTCATCCTCCTGAACTGTTGTGTAACAGCATTTATAGATGCCTTTCCCCTCTCCTTCCCCAGAACTGGTTACAACCATAATTGACCAGCTTACAATACAGTGTGTTATATTTGAGCATCAGATGAAGTGATCTCTGCAGGAATGCTAGAATCATTAACTAGCAGTGATTAGAAAATACACTAAGGCAGGGAGATGAGGGCATTGATTGCAGATGTGTGCAGTTCACTGACGGATGTAGCACAGTCATTGTCACACTGTTGAGAAGGAAGTTTAGATGCAGTGACTGTAAGACAAATGATGGTTGCTTCCCTATTTATTCTCCTCTCATGACTTTGAAGCTGCTGCTTTGCTCAGGTCTTTCTTGGCCAGCAGCCTATAAATAGCGATTTATCTAGTACGTTTTGCATGACTTGGTTAGTGCACAACTGGAGCAGCAGGAAACTGGCTGTCTGCTATGTAAGTTCCTGCAACTTTCTCCTCATTATTTGCAATGTGGAAGTTAGACTGCTACTGCCAGAAACAGCTGCTAAGTGGAAGCAGACGGAGACTTCAGGAAGAATTGCCTCAGTCCCTAACAGCCTGCTAGGTGCTGTATTAGCACTGCAGTAGGATCCCAGCCTTTCTCATAGATCTGGCTTTAGCTTGCCTCTACATATTTATTTTATGAACAACATTTTAAAAAAAAAAAAAAAAAAAAAAAAAAAAAAAAAAAAAAAAAAAAAAAAGAAAACAGCTCTTTGCATCAGTGCCAAAATGCATGCAGTTAGGAAAGCAGCATCCTTTTTTCAAACTTTTTTTGGAGCTGAGGGTATCCTTTGGTGTATATCACAGTGCACACTGTGTCCTTGCCATGCTCGTGCTGGTGTTTGTGCATAGGCATGCATAATATTGTGTGCAACCAGCCGAGCCTTTTGCAGCTTCTCATTTGCGCTGCATTTCTTAACTGCAGATGCCAAGTGGACTCAGCTGCACATATGCATTTTTATCAGCCAGTCTTTCTTATTTCCCTAAAACCAATATATGCAGAGGATAACAGTTAGAAATCGCTGATTTCCAGCATTGAGATCAACCTACTTCTATTAGGTGCCATTGGCACTAAAGCATTTTCTCCCTCTGTGGTTTTGCACATTGTGGAAATCGGTGCTAATCAATAGAAATTCAGTGTGCATGCAGTTTTAGTCTTCCCAAAAAAAGTACTAGAAAATTAGCTTACAGTTTTAAAAAAGATCAGCTTTTTTTTTATTTTTTATTATTATTTTTTTAACTTTAATTTTTATTATTTTTTATTTATAAATGCCTACTTTCTGAGATAGGCAGCGATCTGTGATGCAGTTAGAACTTCCATTTTCCCAAGTGTTCCTATTGATGGAGCAGTGCTGCCTTCCTCACATGTATTCTCCATGTATTTGCCACGTTCAGAATGTAG